CTGCCAAATAGTTTGGGAGGGAGGCAAAGAAGTGGGGAGTAAAGGAAAGTGCAGCTTCTGCAAAGTAAAATTGTATCTCCTCCCCCTCACATCTTCCCTCTGCTCCAGCCTCACTCCCCTCAGCCCGATTCCCCCCAGCCTGACCCCCTGCATCACTCCATTCCCCTCAGTGCAACCCTTTCCCCATCTCATCCTGCCCCCACAGCCTGATCCCCTAAATCGCCCCAATGCAACCCCTAACTCCTCTAATGCTCCAGCATCCTCCTTTCCCCTTCCTCCTCCTCCCACACTCTTATACCCACAGCACACTCACTGGCAGGACAGCAGGGCTGGGACTCGCAGCCTCCAGGAAGCAGCACGGGTGGGGAAGGGGTGAGGAGCAGAGTCTCTTCCTTGCCCATTCCAGCCCTTTGCCTGCAGGCAGTGGCTCCGGTTCTGAGGTAGGCAAAGACCAGGGCTGGTTTCAGCCATGCCAGGCACAGCGGGGTACTGGAGAAGGGGCTCCCCAAACCCACACCCACCCTGGGAAAAATGTCCCCTGCAAGAACACTGGCATTAGCAACTCCTGCTTCATGTTGGGGGAGGAGGATGGAGGCTAGAGGCAAGCTTAGAGCCCCTCACTGCCACATTGGAATGGATAATAATAGGGCTGTGTAACAGCAGGGAGGCTGAGCACTCCACACTGGTGCAGCTGCATGCAGATGGGGGTGCCTGACGCACACTGCTACTCCTGGGGGCCTTCTGCACCACAGTTAATTCTGTGCACAGTATTTTAAAATTGTGTTACATGTAAAAAATAACACTATATAACCACACCAGCTTTATTTTGGTAATTCATGTCAAAATATAGTACCTGCCAGCAAGTATGTCTGACGGTATTGGCACACACAGCATTGCCTCCAAGAGTAAAAGAAACCTCTCTGACAGCCAGTGCCTATGCTCTGCTCCCTTCTCCCCTCTGAGCCCAACTGGGGGACAGATGCCCCTAACTCCATCCCCTCAGGCTATGTCTACACTGACCCTCTCGTGGAAAAACATATGCAAATGAGGCTAAGCGTGGCAGATCGCTGCTCATTTGCATAATTGAGGTTCTGTTTTTGTGCAAAACCCCCCTCTTGCATAAGAGCCGTTCTTCTGCCTTCTTTTCTGGAAGAATGGCTCTTGCGCAAGAGAGGGGTTTTGCGTAAAAATGGTGCCTCATTAATTATGCAAATGAGGCACGGTGATATTCCACGCTTAGCCTCATTTGGATATGTTTTTCCACAAGAGGGGGTAGTGTAGACATAGCCTTAGAGCCCAGACATGGAGCTCACCCCAGCCAATACACCCAATCCCTTTGCCTCCTAGAGCCCAGCCACAAGACCCCCTCGCCCAGATACCCATCCCACTCCCCACCAGAGCTCAGGGATCCAGAGAGATAAATAACCTGATGCTGAATGCCAGGCTTGCACAGAGTTCCCAGCATGGCTCCACCCCCAGGAAAGAAGACAGTAACACGTAGGAAACTGCAGCTGCCAGAAAGCCTGTAGGTCAGTGGTCTCCAACCCTTTTACACCCAAGATCACATTTTAAATCTCAGGGTAAGTCAAGATCTTCCTCATCCCTTCCTTGAGACCCCACCCCTTTCTCGAGGCCCTGCCCTCTCCAAACCTTCCCATGGACTAGCTAATGGAAACTCACTGTTAATGACATAATTACACTCCAGCCATTTTGCTAGTGCTGCAGCTGGGGAAGAATGGTTTAATTTAAATTATTAAACAGATTAGGCATTTCAACTCTGTCCAACACAAACGGTTTCAATGTTTTATTCATTTATGGCAGGGGTGGGGAACCTTTTTTGGGTCAGGGACACTGACCCACAGAAAAAATCAGTTGGGGACCACACAATTGAGAAGCAAAAAAGGCCTTCCAAAACCTCCGACCCTCACTCCCCTGGCACTCCAGACCCTAGAGGGCAAGGGGAAGGGGCAGGGAGGACTGAGGTTTAGAGCTTCCCACAGGCCAGGTTTACTTTTCTGGGGTATCAGTCAATGGATTTTGTGGGCCCCCTCATAGGCTTTGTGGTGGGAACAAAAACGAGGTGCTCAATGTGCAGGACAGGGCCGACAGCGAGAGGGATAAGGATGCAGGATCTGGGTGGGAGGTGCGGTGCAGGGTCTGGAAGAGTTTGAAGGCAGGAGAGGGTGTGGGTACGAGAGGGAGGTGGGGGCAGGAGAGAGCATGGGGTGGGGGTACGTGAGGGAGTTTGGGGGTGGAGGGTTAGGACAGTAATGCAGAAAAGGTGAAAAATTGAGAATGCTGCCAAATAGTTTGGGAGGGAGGCAAAGAAGTGGGGAGTAAAGGAAAGTGCAGCTTCTGCAAAGTAAAATTGTATCTCCTCCCCCTCACATCTTCCCTCTGCTCCAGCCTCACTCCCCTCAGCCCGATTCCCCCCAGCCTGACCCCCTGCATCACTCCATTCCCCTCAGTGCAACCCTTTCCCCATCTCATCCTGCCCCCACAGCCTGATCCCCTAAATCGCCCCAATGCAACCCCTAACTCCTCTAATGCTCCAGCATCCTCCTTTCCCCTTCCTCCTCCTCCCACACTCTTATACCCACAGCACACTCACTGGCAGGACAGCAGGGCTGGGACTCGCAGCCTCCAGGAAGCAGCACGGGTGGGGAAGGGGTGAGGAGCAGAGTCTCTTCCTTGCCCATTCCAGCCCTTTGCCTGCAGGCAGTGGCTCCGGTTCTGAGGTAGGCAAAGACCAGGGCTGGTTTCAGCCATGCCAGGCACAGCGGGGTACTGGAGAAGGGGCTCCCCAAACCCACACGCAACCTGGCACCAACCCCGCAGCACCCCAGCTGCTCTGCCCCGGCTTCCCCAAATCAGCTGCTGCTGAGGGGGAGCAGGCTTGGGGAAGCCAGGGGCAGAGCAGCTGGAGTGCTGGCGGGGGGGTCCCACAGCGCCCCCCGCTGACCCCCCACCCCCACCCCAGATCTCTCATAGACCCCCTTCTGGTACTCCGGCATATCTGATAATCCGGCACCCCCTGGGTCCTAAAGGTGCCGTATAATCGGAAGTTTACTGTATATTCCTGTGGCTTTGTATTTCACAGTTCAGCTTTTGCAGAGCAAGACATTTCTAAATGGTCTAAAATTTGGCCAAACCCTACTGATATCGGCGGTAGTGCACCTGTAATGTACATTTGCATCGCCACTCACCATTAGTGCAGATCCTAGTCCTTGGTTACCTGTCTGAACTAGCAGTGAAGCTGTATCCTTATGTAGATGTTTTCCCATAACGAACATCTTGTAAGAACACCAGTGACTAGAATGGAGGGGATCACTGAAGCTGAACTGTTTATTTCAATGCCAGCTGGATACTTGCCTTACCCTGAGCCCAGGTCTATCTTCTATATAAAATAGCTTTGGTAATATGTATTTCCAGGCACCCATGCCAGATAGTCACACCCAACTGCACTGAGGGGCTGATTGGTAGATGGCAACTTACATATAGGACTGAGTCAAATATGCCACATAACTTGTGAGGTGGTTCTCTGTAAATTAACCACACGGGCACAAGTGCACACTGCCAAGACTCACAATCACACCTTCTCGCCTGCAGTTAATAATTGCACTAGCATGATTGAACCAGTGCGAAATATCCACATTAGCCCCCCAGCTTCTGGTGCTCCAACTGCAGCATGTTTCCTGTACTCCGCCAAATGCTGCAAGGTCTCTGGGCTGCTGCATGTCCCACAGGGAAACACGCTGCTTTCTGTTGCAGAAGCTCACCATCAAGGGCTTTTACATCTGTGTATCTGCTCACCTTATCAGTGTGTTCCACTGGCTGTTTAGGGACCCTGCACATATAGCATGAGGGGCAGAGATTACACTTATACCATGTGGAGGATCACTAGCTACCTCCATGCTGCAGCTGGTTGGACTCTTGGGCCCAATGCCCACCACTTGTGATGATTACCTGTTTTTAGATGGCATTGATCAAGAAGGTAAAAAAATGTAGTTTTTTTCTATTTACTTTTTTATATTTTGTACTTTGTGTAGCAGAGCCTATGTGTTTTCTTCTCATATGTTGTACGTCTGTCTGGGATCCACAGATGGGATAGAGCTGGCAGAACATCCCTGCAGGCCCAACTATTTTCCTTCACCATCTTGTGCTGTAGGAATCCCAGAATTGGAGAGAATTGTTGCTCACTGTCAGTGCCACAAGTAGTGGAAGGGAGAGAGGAAAAATGGTCTGCCTGTGCTAAAGTTTCTGCTCTGGGACTAAGGAAATCTGGGCTCTATGCCTGTCTGTATCACAGACTTCCTCTGACTTCAGGCAAGTCACTGACTCTCTGCTTCCCTACCTGCACTGTACAGATGGAGACTCTGCTCCGCCTCACAGGCTGCTGAAAATCAGATTGTCAAGGGGCATGAGGTACTGAGTGTACATCACTGAACACAACTAAAAAGCTCCTTTTAAAGTAGATTTGGTCGGGGATATTAGGGAGCCTTGCTATAAATCTACTAATAACTTTTCTTTTGCGGCTTGCAGGAACACTGCAGTATCAATAGACTCAGCTCCTAAGGAAGGAAGGAGCATCTCATGCTAACTGAATGACCCCTCTTGCCAGATGAACGTCAAAGTCCATGGGTAGGAGATGCATGGCCACGCTGAAAGATAAAATGTCCATGCTGAATATAAAGGAAAGCTGCTGTTAGGCAGACTGGGAACAGAAATAGATCTGCATTTACATGCTTCTTTCCAGCAGCTCTCAGTGGCCAAGTTCTCTTTTACAGATTAAAAAATCTAAAGCCCAGAGATAGTGAATGGCTTGGAGACCCCGACATAATGAAGAGTCTCCTACTGCCTCCTCTGACTGGGGGACTAGATATGGTTCCAGGTGCCAAGACAGGAGCATTAGAAATATCAATGACCTTCTGCAAAGACGCTAAATGGGTAGCAGAGATGGACCTGAACCCAGGTGATCTGATGTCTAGTTCCAGTCATAGTACTGTTTTAGAATTGAATTTATTCCCTCCTGTGATGTATTTCCCAATAGATCCAAAAACAGCAAAGCTGGCCTTTCACAAAAGGATTTCATTGGAAGCAGAATACAGGGCCAGTGTTTTCAACAACTCTCTCTCTGGGGAAGGTACAATTATTGGCTAGGTAAGTCTTTGCTTGAATAGGTTTGAAAAGTAAGGCTGAGTAGCCTATTAATGTGAAATAAAATTGACATTTCATAGCTTATTTCACCTACAGTAAAATAAAGTGACCGCAGAGTTTTGTGTTCCCCAACCTCCATATAGGACAAAAATCTTTGCAGATAGGCATAATTCATCTTAAACAAGACAGATACCAAGAGACATACGAATAATTAAACTTTTGAAAAAATTAAACAATGACAAATGCAATATTGTCATGTTTCAAGATGAGGCTTTTCCCCCAAAAGCCTCATCACTTAGAAATAGTATTGTTCTGTAAACAGTTCAGGAGACCAGCTAAGTGCCTCATCCAATCCACTCACTAAATAAGCTGCACATGAAGGGCTTTTCTTGGTTTCTGAGCAGGAAGACGTTCCAGAGACCGCACCTTTTAGAAGCAAGGCCTTAGCAGCACTTGCAGATGTAGGAGTTGTTGGAATCCCAGTTCTATTCCTAGGGTTTAATGTTCTGCTTCTTAAACATGCATCAGCTTTTGGCTTTCCACTGTTGGCTTTGTTTTCAGAAATATCTAGGCTCCTGGCTTGCAATTCATCTGTTTTTAAATTAGAAAATGCAACTGGCTGTAACAATTTTGTTGCTGATGGAGGAACCCATTCTTTAGAGTCATTCTCCGGCAACTCGCTATTGATAAACGACTGAAGTGAAACAGACTTACTGTTGGTTGTATTACTTGATCTTTTGTGTTTCAGGAACTTGCTGGTAAGTTGTCTTAATAAAATATTTTTAAAAGAAGGCCTAGACTGTTTGCATTTGCAATGGATTTTAGGTGTCAATTTAGGGAGAAATGATTCTCTTCCACTATGTGATCTGAATTTTTGAAGAGGTCTTGCAACAGGAGTTGACTGTGAATAAGGAACAAAGTTCTGGGTAGCTACCAGATCAAGTTCTGAATCATAAAGTGAACTTATAGGTGTACTGTGTTTACCAAAAGGAGATAGCAAACTAGATGAGGATCTGCATTCTGAATCACTGTAGCTAACACCTAATGGACTAAGCGCTAATTCAGATGCTGTGCACTTTGCAGTCAGAACATCTTCATGTGCTGAAGAGCTGTGAGACTTACTTGAAAATTCTATGATGGTTTCTATCTCTCTGGCACTAGCATCAAAGAGATCAGCAGAAGCATTGTAGCTGCTATTGGGGTGGTTGGAGTTCTGTAGCAAGTCATTCTGGTTTATAGTTCTAACTATATTTTCTTGCAATTCAATTAATGGTTTTAACTCTCTCTCACACATAATTTTAGCTTTGTAGGGAGCTACTGAATCACAGCCCAGTTCCTGAGAACTTTTAAGATCTGTTCTCTGGGTTGGTGGATAACTACAATTTTCTTTATTTTCCCATTCGGCTACACAGCCATCATATAAGCCATCATATTGAGAATGTAAGTGCGTAGGTTTTTCTCTCCTTTGTAAATACCAGCTTTCTGCATCTTTCATGGTACACTGAAGATCGGTGAAAGAACGGGCATTGATTGAAATGTTAACATTTGCTTCCTCACACTGTAGAAAACTGTCCTCTGAAAGAGAATCTTTTGCTCTAACTGTCAAGGATTGTGATAACACACCTCTACTAGTACTAGGTATAGAGTCAGACTCCTTGCCTCCCTTAGTACTTGTAGTCAAAACGCTGTACAAAGGCTCAGTTTGTGATACAAAGCCAGTTACAGGAGTGACATTTGATTGATGGCAGGAAAGAATATGCTCTTTGCAAGTGTTCACATTCTCTGCTACTTGTGGGAAGCTCCCTGTTGTACGTACTGCCTGCAAATCCACCACCACGATGCCTTGCCTACAAGATATTTTGCTGGGACTTTCATCCAACTCACTTTTTTCATGAGAACATTTATGAGCATCGAGACCTACTGGGAAGACGGTGCTCTTGTTGTTTTCAATTCTGGCTATGAATTCATTTAGACTTTCAGAGAATGGCAACTCGTCCCAAATCACAGAGCCATCCTGAGAAGTTCCAGCTGCACTTCCATGATTATGAAACACTGTTGAGGAGCAAAATGAAAAATCTTTTCTCTGGCAATGCAAGGAGTTCCAAGATTTTTCTTGAGAGTAATCATGTCTGCTGATAATTTCAGGGCAAGAGTATTTCCCCCCCAAATCCAATGGGCTTTGTAACAATCTGGGGGTGTTCCAGTCAAGTGGCCATTCTCTCTGTAAAAAAGAGAAGCTCTCTAGTTTTTCCGTTGCAGAGATTGTGTTTGACTGACTAGATAGTGAATTGAATTCATTATCTTCCTGTTCATTTCTCTCATTCACAGAGTTACAGAGCTGCAAATCTTGAATGGTGTGGTTGCTAGGATTTACGTGACATAGTTCTGCAGAGAAATGCTGCTTCTGTAGTTTACACTGTTCAACAGCAACCTCACCCAATTCTAAAGTTGAAAAATCTTCTGTCGTTATCCAATCAACTGATGAAGAAGTCAGGCCAAAGGACTGTTGCCAGGGTCCTGAAAAGTTTTCTTGGGCACACGATGTAACAAAACATGAGTTGCTGCCAGAGCCACACAAGCTGCTGAGCTCACTGCTAGGCTGATCTATTCCAGTTAAAGGACAATCAGGTCGTTGTGAGCTGCTGTCACTGCTCTTGAAATTAGCAGATTGCAGGAGTTGATGGAAGTAGCTGATAACAGTAAAGCCGGCAATATTAGCATGAGGCAGAAAGATTTGGCAGGCTTTAAAATCTCTTGTAAGTCTATTAATTTTGGAGCAGTTTTGTAAAATGCTGCCAGAAATAGAGTGTCCTCCATCATGGTTTTCTGAACTCTGGAAAAAAAAAATCATTATGCTTATTAGTTGTAGCCAGACAGGAACTCCCCCCCCTCCCCCCTTGTAACATCCATTTTTGCTTGCCTGGAGCATTCAGGGCACACAGAGCAGAAGGCCCAGGCTGTGTGACTGTGAATGGCTGTAAACAGAGATACGCCAATTGCTGACCAAGAGGCTGCCAAGGAGTGCCCTTGACTCAAACCCATATTGATACGAACACACATCCATCCGCGGGGGGAGGAATCTCTCGCCCAGTAAAAAAATGTCTAGTATTCACAATTTAGTTATCTCTCTTGCAAGTGTAAATTAACTTGAAACTTGCTTGTAAGAACTAGCGCCACAAAACGGACCAGTACAATTTGGCATCGTAGATAAGAAAGAGGATACGAGCCCCCAGGGGTATATAGATGGGTCCAGCAGCATATTTTCTCTGAGTGTCAATCTACCATCTATCTGCTGGTCGGGTTAGGTGTTTGATCTCCCGAGGTTCCAGAGGGGACGCCCACCTCGTATTCGTCTTTCCTAGGAATTGAGAGACCGGCCCTGGCCTGACACGCTGGAGTCGAGAGGCACAGAAAGGGGTAAAAATTGTACCTGGATGTGGTCCTTTGTTTAAGTATATATACATAGTGTTAGAGCTCTTTAAAGATTAAGCTGTCACTTGGTACCATTATTTCTGTTTTCTATCTTTACCTTTTCCCTGTAACCATTTTTAAAATCTATATTTATATTTGCTAGCATTTAAGAAATAGAGCAATAGCCATTGTAACCATATGCTTTTATAAGTCTTTTAATAAACCTGTAACCGTTTAAGCTTTAACCTGACTCCTTCAGTTGCTGTAACAGAACCAAGCACAATTTAAAAGAACTTCAGCTGGTCATAAAAGGGACAGACATAGGGAGAGCTTGGGCGTTTGGATCTGTGTCACTCCCAGGTGACAAGATCCGTTGGGGCACCTTTTCAGCCTTTCCTAGGCTGCCCGCTGCGAAGGAACTTTGTGTTCTAGCAGCTAAAATCTAAGGTGTAATAAGCTCTTCCTATATAACAGGGCGTCTGTTGGCCTGCTGGCCACCCTCTGCGATGGGACCCCGGTCCTAGCAGTAAAGACACAGACGTTAAACCTTTTCTCAGAAGCATATACACACACACTGCCCTGACCGTCGGCTGACATTAGTGTAATGATTTGTCTGGATACAGAGCAAAATTTTAATGGAGACTAAGAGCAAAAAAAGTCCAAACAAATCTCATACACAATTAATTTTAAAGACCGTCTCTTTTTAGGAGGGTATTTGGGGAAGAGAGAAGAAAACCTGCTCTCTCAGAATAGCATAAAGGACATTCCAGCCAGAAGGCATTTGTAGTAATGATACAAAGAACAAAGAATTTTCAGAGTGAATTCAGTAGAAATTCTGAGGAGACAAGACAACACCTGGGCAGAAGAAAAACTACTTCACTAGAGAAGGCTACCTTGCAAAGAGGGACATATTGCAAAACTGACTACAGTAAATTTCCAATAATCTGGCACCTTTAGGACCCAGGAGGTGCCAGATTATCAAATATGCTGGACTATTGGAAGGGGGGAAGTTATGAGGGG